GTCAGGAGTTACTCACCGCAGGATTCCCAGCCTCTGACCTGCTCTTGTAGCCGCTGTGTTTATGTGGGGAGTCCGGTTGTGTTTCTGGTCAATGGTAACCCCCAGGATGTTGATAGTGGGGGGATTCAGTGATGGGAACACCATTGAACGCCAAGGGAGTGATGCTTAGATTGTCTCTTGTTGAAGACGGTAACCCGTCAGGATGTTGACAGTGGGGGATACAGTAACAGTGATGCTTGTTTCTGGATTAATGAGTCCTGTCCTACAGTTCAGGGTGATAGCAGACATCACTGAGATAAAACCCTGGGGCCAGTTTTCCAAAGAACAGCAGAGGATCTTTGCGTGCACTTGACCGATGTCGGTAAAAAGCAGGCCTGGTAACCACCACCCTGTTGTTGCTCGGGCCTCAGGGTCTATCCAACTGGCCGCGGGGTACAGCGAGGGTCCGCCCGTAAGACCCCCACAGTGCTGAGCTTCCGTTGGCGCTCTCGACGGTGTTGGCGTCACAAGACAGGCTGTGACCAGCACGGCTGGTAGGCAAAGGGGCAGAGGGCAGGCACAGACTTGCGGTGGGGGGGGGGGGGGGGGGGAGCGGGGGGGGAGGGGGACGGAGGGGGTCAGGAAATAGACCACCCTGAGACAGAGAGAGAAAGGGGGAGTGTCTCCTACTCACATGGTTGTGATTATTTCATCCTTCGTCCTCCTGATCAGTAACACAGGCCCCTGGTACCTTCAAACCAAAAGGAGACATTTAAGCCGCGTGCACACAACCGTCAGCTCACTCAGATACAATTCACAACCGACAAACAAGGTGCTGACAGTGGAGCTTTCTTCGATAATCCCCGCTCGGGGCAGGGGCGGGGGGGCAGTGCAGTGCGATTTGAGAATGCCCAACCCAGCGACTGGCCCTGACCGTAACGCCATCCAGAACTGCAGCTCTCAGAGATCAGAGCAGCCGCCCGCGCTCCGGTCTCCCATTTAACCACCCAGGGTCAAAAGCTGGGCCATCCCTCTCTGTCCCTCCCCTCCCCTCCCCTCCCCTCCTCCCCGGTACAAAGGGGGCAGAATCTGACACTGTGGGCCCACAGAGGTGCCCGATCCTGCTGACTGAGCCCCGCAGGGTTTAAGGAGAATGGTTTACACGGGGATCACAGGGTCACGGGGAGGCGGGGGTCAGGGTCGGTAGGGTTGATGGTGAGGTGGTGTTGGGGGGGTCGGGGTGTCACACACTGGCCGCAGGGTCACTGCCTCCGTCTTTAACCCTCACCGACTCACTTGCACAGCTGCTCTGCATTGTTGAGGTTCAAGTAGTCTCGAACTGTCCGCGTAACCAGACCCTCTGGTGACGACACGAGGGAGAGAGACACAGAGAGGGAGAGAGAGACAGAGAGAGAGAGAGAGAGAGAGAGAGCGAGGGAGGGAGCGAGGGAGCGAGCGAGGGAGGGAGGGAACAGGAGAGAGAGGGAGAGAGTTAGAGTCCAAGGTCATCATTGCTGATTGTACCAACAACAGGAGCGAACACCCCAGAATAAAACAGGCAGACAATGACACCTGTATAATCCGCTTTGGGAAAAAACACCAGCTAATGCCCTGGGGCTAAGGGTTCAGGAAGTTAAATTCAATTAAATCTTCCATTAAGAGTCAAGCCGAATGCCGTGGGTCTGGAGTCACGTGTAGGCCAGTCTGAGGAAGGACAGCAGATTTCACTCCCTGAAGGACAATGGTGAACCAGAGGGGGCTAATTCGGGTCAGTGAACACATCGAAGAGAATGTTTTCAAGGAACATCACAAAAAAAAACTAAAGCTGCAAGAAACCCAGAGGGGCATGCACAGGGAGAAACAAAGTGAACAGTTTGCCAGTACCAATGTAAGGTTTGGAAAGGTTCACTCTGTTTCTCTCTCCGCTGTGAGGATTTGTCACAGCTCTTTCTGAATTTATTCCAGATTTCTCAGAAAACCCACAGTCCTTTGTTTTAGGATTCCTTCCAAACTCTCCAAGCTTCTCTTTAGTGCAACCAGACTGTAGGTTCACATGTGGTGGGGTGTTTTTTTCATTCTTTAAAAACTGATGGCGATGTGAGGGGTTGCTGACTGGGCGAACATTTATTACCCAGAGCACAGTGTAGAATCACAGTCAGGCAGATTGCAGTGGGTCTGGAGTCACGTGCAGGCCAGACCAGGCAGGTGAGATTTGAACCCACCTACCGTTCCCCACCCCCCGACACACACACACACACACACACACACACACAAACTCCAGAAAATCAGCCTGGTCCCCGGGATGAGGAACCCAGTGACACTGTGACACCAGCAACATCCGATTAAACGTTACTTACTGCAGTTCTCTGGCATGACCTTCAACGCAAGGGGTATCAGATCATCAAAGGAAGCATCCAAGACCAGAGAGCTGATCTCTGGGTAGGTCATCGTCGCCCAGGTAGCTGAAAGGCACACATTGTTCAAAGTAACCTTTACGGTCGGCAGTAAACAACAGAAGCATTGATCTCACAAACGGTTTCAGTTTCCTTTCTCTGCTCTGCTCCAGGCGCCGGGAATCGATTGCAATTAAGAGCTAACTTAATCCTCAGCGGTGGGGCAGCTTGTAGAAACAAAGATTCAGGATAGATTTGGTAACCGCGTGGAAAACAGTGAGCTGATTCAGAACAGCCAGGACGGATATCTAAAGGGGAAATCATGTTTACCTAACTTGGGAGATTTTGTTTTGAAGGGGGAACATAGAGGCTCAATGGGAGTAACGTCATTAATGTGAAGCACACGGAATTTCAGAAGGTAATTGTTTCTACAAGCTTCCCCACCACTGAGGACTATGTTAACTCTTCATTGCCATCAATTCCCAGAGTCTTGAGCAGAGCAGGAAAAGGAAATGCATTTCCGTTCCTGCCTTACAGAACTGGGGAGATGGCCCCGGAGTTGAGATGAGAGAGCCTGGATCATGTTCCATCTGTTTGCAGAGGACCCAGCTCTGCCTGTGAACAGATAACAGCTTGTAGGGATGGTGAGGGAGTGAGCCATACTTGGTGCATCATCTTCAACTGGTCGTTAGTCCAGTAAACCACATGGGATGCCACAAAATTACTGTAATGTAATGAGTGTGAGAGCTAACTTACACACAGCCAGCTCCCACTAACAGCAACTGGATAATCTTGCAGTTGTTTTTTTTAAAAGAAATATTTGCTTCAAGTATAACATCGGGGAGGCCACCAGGGGTAATGTTCCTGTTTGAAGTTTAACTTTCCAGCAGGGGTCTTGGGGTCTCAATTAAGAAGAGGACAGGGGTGGCGGGGGGGGAGTGGTGTGTGGTTCCTGAAGATAGCTCTTACCTGTGAAACCACCGATAGACCAGGCGTACATAATTATATCTTCGACCTTGAAGTTAAGGCGATGGATGGCGTACTGTACGACCACGTCCATGGCGTTGGCTTCATTCTGAGGGAAAGGTACACCCTGGGGAGACATATACACACAGAAATCAGTCACAGACACTACTCCCTCACCCCTCACCCCTCACCCC